TATACTTTATAAACTTTTTGTGTTAAAAGTGCGTGAGCTAAAACACAGGCTGATCAAGGGGCTAACTTGTAATACTAAAAAAACTAGATGGTCAATAGTGTCAGGTGTAATAAGCCCAAAGAAAAGCAACAAAAATTCAGGTTAGTGTACTATAATTCAGCCTATTATAGGCTTCTGTGACACGAACTCAACAAAAATTCGATCCGATCAAGACTCAATTGATGATCCAGCCTATTAAGATTTAAGACTAATGTACTATAATGTCTCAAACAGAAAGGTACTAAAATAAGATGGTCTCACAGGTTAGTGAAAGCAGGATTGCCACACGCATTAGCAGTGATAAAATGGGAGAGGATGTTGTTGTAAGGTCTCGTGTCAATGATTTCTTCGGGATCAATACCAGCAACAGGGTTCCCAACTGGATTCCTGACATTGTCCATCCCGCTCTGCAAACTTGTCAAGCCAACATCTTCTAGTCCTTTAAGAATCTCTGGCACATCAGGCAGCACAACACCTCTAATCTGCCAATTCTGCCTCGTTGTGACATCGGCGCACCCCTCTTTTCCATACTTTCTAATAACACTTGCTAAGTATCTTGTTTGGGCACTAGTTGTAACCCCGTTCGGTAGCTTCAGTCTCATCATAAACCGGCCATCTATTTTCACATTCATATTATAATTATATATTCAAACTCAAGTATACTAAGAGTTTCAGTTCGAAATATTAAATGAAAAACTAATTCAAATACCTGAAACTAAGAGGATATGTGAGTTTAGCACTCAAACTTCACTGTGTGAAAAAATATAATGAACTTTATATTAAAGTTGATCTCAACACCATTGACGAGAATTGTCAATTTAACATATGTAAGCTTAGGATGACAAATGTAAGTTTATGATACTTAGTGCGCACCCCAAAATGTTTGGAGATAAACTGTTTGCACTTAGCATCCTGAACTTACACTTGTGAAAGAAAAAAAAAACATGTCCACTGTGCTAAGATCACCTGAAATTTAAAGCTCACAATATCTACTTCATACATTGTAAGGAGATGCATGGTTGAGCTAGCTAATTAGCTAATTGACTGTGTTAAGATTTCCCATACTGGGCAATATAAATATCTCACTAATAAGACCGTATATAGCTGATAGCTCCTCCTATCAGTGTTAAGTCAATCCATACTTGCTAAATATAAGAGTATAAACATATGTAGCACAGAAACTCTCGGAAAAGAGTACGTTTTTGTTTCGGAAACTGTACTAAAACTCTTTGGAAACTCTCCAAATAAGCATTTTTTAGGCAAAAGTTAGACGTTTCCCGTTTCCTCATGGTTTTCGCATTTCCGTGTAACATAAGTATAAACTGACTTATATCATCTTGAATTATCTTCCTTAGACTGTTTCTAATGCAGTAAGTTTGTACATTGACAAAAAGAAAAAGAAAAGAATAAAGAAACTATTGACACAGAAAATATAAAAGATATATAGCAGAACATACATTGATGTTTTCTCCTGTGGAAGAGGCCAAGCCATTTGAGCCTAGAGTCAACATCATCCTTAGTAAGCTTTGACCGTTCAATAGCTTCAAAGGGCATCTTCGCAAGGTCTTCAACTCCATTTTCCATGAACAATTTCATTGGCTCTTTCTCAATCTTAACCTTTTCTGCAGGATTTATGCCCTGCCTGAACTTCTCCTTCAGCACAAAGTAACCATCTTTTTCCTCCACCCTGGGCTCTAGCCTTGCAGAATCGACCCCTGCGGATCCAGACGGCGGTGGCGCCGATGCATGTGGCGGAGGCGCGTGCAGCCTAGGAGGCTTGGACTGGTTAATGAACTTTTTAGAGTTTGATAAAGATGGTTCTGCGAAGTTAGCAGAGATAAATGCCATGTCGGCGAATTATAGAGAGATAAGTTCGAACGCTCGGTGGTTGCGGCGGCGGCGGCCGTGAAATGCAGAGAGGGACCAGAGCGAGGGGCCATTTTGAAGGCCATGACAGTAGGCAGCAGCGGCCTTTCGCTGAAGCAAAAGGTACGTATGTTTATCTTGTCCTTGGCTCTTGAGGATTATTGTTCTTGTTATTTTGCAGGACTGGTGCGGAATAATTATTACTACCTCCCTCCCAATTTGGTAAGACATCTTTGACTTTTTCGGTCAAAAGTTGTAAACTTTGAACAATTATTTAAACTAATATATCTATGCAAAATTTAATAATTTTATTTTTATATTTTTACGGTAGTATTTTTAACAAAGAACATTTTCATATCATTTTCATATTATTAATATTTTCTCTATATAAACATATAATCGGTCAAAAATTCAAAGTTAGACGTCATTGACTTGAAAAGTCAAGTTTTGGTAAGTAAAAGGTGACGGAGGGAGTATGATAGATAGTATGTTCAATGATAGAGTCACCCTCAAGTAGTGTTCTAAATTGCGCCAAAAGGCATTATGAAAGCGGGTCTAGGCATGAGGCGTCTATTTAATGCTCTTCATAGTCGTCATGTGTTATACAAAGAAGTCAACTATACAGTTGATTATTTAGGGGTGCATAGGCCCAAAAAAGGCGTCCGTCTTTTGCAACAGTTTTCGAAGAAATTGTAGTGAACAGAGCAAGCCGTTGTGGTTGAAGCTCCTCTTTTTTTTGATAATACAGGTGTCGGGGCTTACGCTCCCATAATCCCGGAGTCTATGAACTACCCTCCAAAGCTCCTAGACAGTTAAGTCCGGATCTGATCACAGTCAGCCTCGTCAGTACTGGCTCCAAAGGACGAATCCAGCAGGACTTACATCACCTTTCAGGCTGCTCCTCTCACCACACGAACTCGCTACCTTCATTACCATCCTCTCCCTTCTCAGCCGCTGAGCAACTCCGTGAAGGTAGGGAGAATCATTGGGAGCAAGACCTCCCTCATCTCCCTTGGTGGAAATTGAACCCAAGACCTCCCACAAAGGAGAGACTTGGGGGTGGATGGTCATCCATTGGACTACACCCACCTTCACAGCTCCTCTTTATTTATAGAAGAACGGGAAGGGAATGGAGCTGCAGTTCTGGTGTAAGACGTTTGTTCGTCACTTCGTTGTAGCGGATTGCCAAAAACTCATTTACGTTTTTATATTGGAATGAGAAACCCATTCGGTGTGGGACATTTTATGAGATACTACCTCCGTCCCAGAATTATCTCCTTATTTGACTGGACATGAGCTTTAAGATAGTGAGAAATGTGTGGTAGAGAGTTGTGCAGAGGAAAGAGAAATGTTTAAGAATAGTTGTGAACCACAAATTCTTTGCCAAAAAAAGGAAAGAGGAGATAAATTTGGGACGGATGAAAAAGGAAAGAATGAAGATAATTCCGGGATGGAGGGAGTATTATACTAGCACTTGGTGTGAGAAGAAAACCCATGGTTTCAATATTATTACTCCATCCATCCTGCTAAGATTGTCTCATCTTTCCTTTTCAGTTCGTCACACTAAGATTGTCTCATATCAAGTTTGATAAAATTATACTACGTATGATTCTAATTCATTTTTACTTTATTCTTACTTTATGAATTCAATATTAACGACATAAACTCATTTTTCTTAATAATCGTGTCACCTCTTCATATCCCAATGGGATGGAGGTAGTATTATTATTGTTGGAATTCTGGTTATTATTTTATCATTGTATTTTATTGTTATCATTATCAACATCCCTCACCATTACAATAATAAAATTTATGGATGAAAAATATGATTAAAGTGACTATAAATATATTTTTATATTCACTATAATCAAAAGTTTGAATGAAACCATAACAATTCACTATCGACATCATCTCCACCATTATCCATCTTGATAACGGATATAAAGTTTTGAGCAATCTTATTTAAAATCCTTGACAAAAGTTGTTGAACTCTGAACATATCTTGGGAAACAAATAAAGTTAAGAATCCATAGAAATTCCTTATATAAACTTATCTTAAATGTTTGATCTAATCGGTTTAAGTCTGGTCTGGTCTAATCAGATCTGTTTAAATCTGGTCTGGTCTGGTCTGTTTAAGTTTGATCTAGTCTAGTTTGAACTTGTCTGGTCTGATCTGGTAAATGTCTGATCTCTTTGTATTTATAACTATGGAAGTCTATTCTGGCCTAGTCTAATCTGTTTAAGTCTGATTTATTTAAACATGTTCTAGTCTGGTCTAGAACAGAAAACAATCCAAGTAAAAACATTTTAACTATTATGGGATAATTGGGATTAATGATGTTTTTACTTAGACTGCAATTTGCTGGTTTGGTCTGGTTTGTTTATATTTGGTCTTGTCTAGTCCGGTCTGAACTGGTCTGATAAACATCTGATCTCTGTGTATTTTATAACTACCAAAGTCAAGTCTGATCTGTTTAAGTCTGCTTTGATCTGGTCTGTTTAAGTCTGATCCGGTCTGGGACTGAAAACAATCCAAGTAAAAGCATCCTTAGACTGTAATTTGTTGGTCTGGTCTGATCTGTTTTAAAGTGGTCTGGTAAATGTTGGGAGAACTATCAAATAAGCCCTCGAACTTTCATAAAAAGTGCAAATAAGCTCTTTTATAGGAGGCTTTGTCGGTTCGAGGGCTTATTTGCACTTTTTGCAATGTTGGGAGAACTATCAAATAAGCTCTCGAACTTTCATAAAAAGTGCAAATAAGCACTTTTTGATTGTTGGGAACTCTATCAAATAAGCCCTCAAACTTTCAGAGCTTCCTATAAAAACGCTTATTTGCACTTTTTGTAAAAGTTCGAGGGCGTATTTGGTAGTTCTCCAGGTAAATGTTTGGTCTCTTTGTATCTTATAACCACGGAAATCAGATCTAGTCTGTTTAAGTCTGATCTGGGACTGAAAACTGTCCAAGTAAAAACATCCCAAGACCGCTGATAGTTTTTAGGGGATTAGTTAGGTGAGAGAGTTTCATACTTTCATGTGGCGACAGTATGAAATCAGAGATGCAAATTATATTATAATTCAAAGTAGGGATAAGCATAATAGGATTGAGATTTGAGGTCTATGTCTATCATAAACAACTTCATTACATAAACCTGATATTCGTGTAAGAAAAAACAAAAGGATTCCATGATGGCTCAACCTTAATAAAGTCAATAACCCGTTGCAAAATTTATGGCCTACACTAGTACACTGATCTAACAGTTAATGAGGTCACATGACATGAGAATCAGAAGTTAATCTAATTATACAAATATGACTTCGAACTTTGCACAAGAGTTGCTTTCTATATGCTTCCTTAACTCACTATCCCCATTAAATCTGAACGTATAGAGCGCCTGTCTCTGAGTCAACCCAAGAGGATATATGCGGTACACGCTGAGTTCGTCTCCTCCCCGCAGAACCGGGGGCCTTTCTTGTTTCCAAATGGGAACATGCTTCTTAGACTGGAACTTCTTTAACACAGCCGATTTGAAGGCCTCCATTGTTAAATTAGTTGACCTATCAAAAATAGCTGGTGATCTGGTATTTGAAACTTGACACCTCCCAAATTTGGGAAGATCCCAGAGGAAAAAACAAAAGCAAAAGAATACCTAGACCATATGCATCAACCAAATGTGAAATTTAAGATGTACTTTGTTACCTTTATCCCAAAAAGAAGTCTTGTTTGGTGTACACCATTAAAATTATGAGAAGGTGCAACTCTTAAAAATCGTGAAATTGTACTTGCCATATATTTTCTCTTTCATTTAACTATATTTATCATATCAAACTTGTTTGCAAATTCTTTTAGCAAATTACCATAAAAATAACTCGAATGAATGAAATATAACTTTTTCTAGGACGGATAAAAAGACTTTTAAATCAGGGTCGTTTTTTGGGGTACAGGGAATACGAGGTAAAACATGGCCTTTTGGCAAAATAAAACAGAGTAAAACACGGCATGTCTACAGCATAGGTAAAAGGTCGTTCTCAAGAAGCAACAATAAGAACATAAAGTATATTTGTATATGAAATATAAATCATGGCAATGAACTTAATAGTTTCCAACTGAATATACCTCAAGAAAATAGACTCCATATTAAACCTTCCTCTTTCACGTACATATACATGATAGACAGCTTCTGAACCCCTCAAACATCTGCACGGACGTTTTGTGAAGTTTGTACCTTTCTCCTCTGTCTCATAGATCCTTGTTGCCAAGTGAATGCACAAGCGGCAAGATGAATGAACTGCTGACATGTCAACTAGGGCTTTGAAAGAATCAGATGGACCCTCAAATTTCCACCTAACAAATAAACATTAAAGCATGATGCAAAAAAACAACCCAACATTTAAATGATAAAAATGAGGATTAAGAAAAATAGAACATGATAAAATGAAGATTAAAGAAAATCTTTGCAGTCAGCCTATGATTCCACAATTGGCATAAAAAATAAGCCGTATTTATCCTCACCTTAGGGTCTGATTGTATGCACTTGGATTTTCAGCAAGGTGCTTCATCGTCTTGGCCACTGACTCAACATCTTCAAGCTTCTTTATATGTAAAAGAGAACCAGGGCAAGGAGCAAAATCTTGGATATTTGGAGCACCAACCACAACGGGAACAGATCCTAAAATTTTATAATTTTATTTTTACAAGTTAAAATTCACATTCAAGTGATTTTCAAGCAGACAAATATGAGTCTTCATTCAGCACAAACTAAATTTGGATAAAATTATGCATGACCAATCTTAAAAAAGATGAACCCAACCTAAACATTGTGGGGAGTATGGTTTATACATGCCATTGTTATCATAATTGATCAGCACAACAAATATAAAGCCTCACAAGAACGTACAACTTTAGGAATTACAGCAGTTTTTAATCAATACAAAATGTGACCCCAAGCTATTAGATATTTCAGTTTCTTCAATTCGGTTCATTCTTAACAAACTTGTATTCACAATTTTTAGGGCCGTTTTAGCTATGTAAGTAATTCTTGAAATAATATTTGAGAATAACTGATAACTTACTCCAAAAATACCAGACTTCTAGAATATGTTATGATACATTGTTTAAATGAAAATATCCGATTCAGGCGGGCAAAGATATTTTTGTATCAAAATACTTTAGTGAAAGGCTCTATTTCTTAAGGGTGGCAATATGGATGTTTTATATCATGTCCTAGGCTCCTAGGCCCTTGCACTAACCTAAGGGGTCATATGACACATTTTGCGTAGAAGTAGGCCTATTTTTCTATTATAAAATAGGACATTTGCAAGTTTATGGGGGTTGTAATTGGTAACTTATTGGTTCTGCCACAACAGCTGTTCACTACCCCCCCCCCCCCCCCCCAAATCATTCATGATGAGAGGATTCGATATGTTCTTGAATTAAATCCAGCTGGGATTCAAACTCAAATTGAAGAAGAATGTGGTCCTTGGGTTAAATTTGTTGGTGTATGCATATACGTAGTACTTTTTTCACACACACATAAGGCCATACACTATTGCTATCAAATAATAACATGCCAGTACATATACATATTATGAAACTAAACTTAAGTAATCCTCACACCATTTACCTTTTAAGCTGCATTTTGAAGAAGTTTACTTTCTAAAGTTTCAGCCTTTAAGGTGATAATTTCAAGATCAGTCACAAAGAAAAATTATTGATGAATAGAAATATCAGTATATCTAATACTCCATATCAGAGGCTCTGATATGTAACAGAAAAATAGAAATCAACGGGGTGAACCGTTGCCCAGATAATCAACGATAAAAATACCGTTGCCCAAAGCCAAAAGACTAAACTCTAACTTTATTCCCAGATAATAAGAATGACCCCTGGCGAGGGGTATAAATAGACTTCTACAAGAAACCCTAATCAAGCCCATATTAATTAAACCCTAATTAAGCCCAAATTAACTCAACTAACTACTCTACTAATAATAGGCCCAAACTAAAACATAACATTAACTTAAGAATAATAATTAAACTATAACGACAGCCCTAACTCGGCCCACGGAAGTGAGCCCAAGCCCGGTCCCGCCCCATGCTCTTCCCGCTCTCTATCAATCCATCCTCCTTCAAAATAACCTTGTCCTCAAGGTTGAAAGCTGACAGATGGGGAGCTGAAATTCCCAGACATAGAATAGACTGGAAAATATCCTTTCTCTCTTTCCTGAACTCTTTCCTGGCCGTTTATTTCACAGTACTCATGCTGTTGGAGGTCTAACTCTTCCTCCTCCTCAGCTATCATTACCCGCAGTTGCTTAAAGGGATAGTCGTGCCCCGGTGTAAATGGTTTCTTACACCTAAAGCATAATCCTTTCGCCCTCACTTCTGCGAACTCCTTTGGCGGAAGACGAGTGAACTGAGAGCGTGTCGTAGGCTGTCCGGACAGCCCTGACTTCGTCCCCGGAGGCTGTCCACTATCCTTCGCAAAGCTGCCCCTTGATCCCTGCAAGCTGCCACCACTGGCAGTCAACGGAGGATTCGTGTTTGCCATTAAAAAGCTACTGGAACGTACCCCTACAGAATTATAATTCGGGCTGCCACTTCCTCCACTTTGGACGGACAGATTATGCTCCACATCGCGAGCTAATTCCATGGCTGTCTCCAGGTTTTCTGGCCATAATAAGCGCAGCGAACTTCGGATTGCTTCCCCAAGTCCACTCATGTAGTAGCCCAAATAATGATCGTCGGTCAATCCCGGAACTTGGCTAGCCAATTGAACGAACAAGGTATTGTATTCCTCCACCGACCCAATTTGTTTGGGAAACGCCGGACAGCCGTTCAAACCTGTTTCCCTAATATCGGGAATCAAATCTGGCCACCAAGGCTTGCTTAAATTCCTCCCAAGATATGCCAGGTTTGCGCGCCTTTAACCACGTCACCCAATAGAGGGCAGCCCCTTCCATAGAAACCCTAGCCGCTGCAACTTGTCTGACTGGTGGGGTCCTGTTGAGCTCGAACTGCTGCTCCACTCTTGCCAACCACCCAATTGGGTCTTCGCCATCGAACGAGGGAAGTAGCGTTGTGGCTGCGGTGCGCAGTCCGCCATCATCGGAGAAGACAGATGCGATGTGGCTGGAGGAATCGCTCTCGACGGTCGCAATGGGAGATTTCTGCGGCGGCACCATGGCCTTCGCGATTGCTTCAAGAGAGGCTGCGATTTCCGCAAGTTGGGCGGCCTGCTCTTCCAGTTTCTGACCTTGTGTGTCAAGTTTATGTCCCTGCAGATCAAGTTTCTGTCCTTGCGTGTCAAGTTTTTGATTGATTAGGGCTTGTTCAGCCTCCAATTCTGATAAACGTTCATTGGTTGATCTCGTCATTCCGGCGGGACGGGATCCGGCAGGTCGGACCAATTGATATGTAACAGAAAAATAGAAATCAACGGGGTGAACCGTTGCCCAGATAATCAACGATAAAAATACCGTTGCCCAAAGCCAAAAGGCTAAACTCTAACTTTATTCCCAGATAATAAGAATGAACCCTGGCGAGGGGTATAAATAGCCTTCTACAAGAAACCCTAATCAAGCCCATATTAATTAAACCCTAATTAAGCCCAAATTAACTCAACTAACTACTCTACTAATAATAGGCCCAAACTAAAACATAACATTAACTTAATAATAATAATTAAACTATAACGACAGCCCTAACTCGGCCCACGGAAGTGAGCCCAAGCCCGGTCCCGCCCCATGCTCTTCCCGCTCTCTATCAGCCTCTGAGTAGATGGAGAGAAGCTAGATAGAGAAATTAAACGGCACAAGGGGTGTGCAGTTTTAGATTAGGGAATAAAAGAGACAATACCAGCTACAAGAGACTGGAAGAATTTTTCAGTAACATAATCCTCCTCATTCGAATTTTCAAAGGCCAAACTGAATTTGTAGTGCCTCAAAGTATCTACTTTCTTCACTGCAAAGAGGAAATTTACAGCAAAAAGTTAGCCATCAGCCTACCTGATTGTTCTTTCGCATTTAGTAAAATGACGAATTCGCACCGGCAGTACAATGTCCTACTCTATTACAGACAATTGCATAAATTTTATGGTTATTGAAATATATACCCAGTCTGTCCCCAGAACACATAACAGATATGCAGTACTTTTATAGTTTTAGTACGGATTTTAAAGAAAACGTATAAACAGTTAAAGTACTTTACAAAAAATTGCACTCAAATAAGGTTTACACAGTCAAAACATTTCAAAAGGTTGAAAGGTGGTAACAAGTATGGGTAAATAGGTAAAGTAAAAGGTTTGGGCATTAAAATGAAAAAAGTGGAAATTCTTTATGGAACAGATTAAAAAGAAAATTATGACAGAGATAATGACATAAAGGGAGTACTAACCATCACCATTCTTGTTCCGGTGACAACTACCGTATGAATCTATGGTGATGCTTTCTCTTTCAAGTGCTTCAAGAGCTTGCAACCGAAAGTTACGAGCCCCACAATTAGATATGAATGCAGCAGCGATAGCTTTCTGTGTCTTAGGTTGGATTGGTGCCATAATGTCATACTCGGCCCATGAAAAATACCCAACAGGAACATCTGAAGAAAGACTTGTAGTCATCACAACATCATATCCCCTCCTAATAAACCATACAGTTATAAATGTTAGGTATTTTAAACACTTCCCGGTAAAAAGGGGTTAATACTTCAATTACTTCAGTACTTGAGTAGATCTTTAAACTTTTTAACTCTCAATATACAAAAGGTTGCATATTATCAAAATGTGTGATGATAAAATCTATCTAAGAAGCTGTATATTGCATAGAAGTGAAAGTGAAAACAGACATTTATTCACAATTGAGTTTATCTTAAATGACATCTTCTAAAGCTTATGAAGAGCTTATGTCAACTCTGAAAGCCCTTTCTTGCCAGGAGTGGTAGAAATGATAGGTCAATAGATCTTGTGTTGGTTCTGAAAAGGTGAAGGCAATAAAAGCACTCTTTGTTTCTATAGTTCTGTTTTAATGCCCTTATAATTTTTTAGATAAGTTTAACCGCCTTGACCCCCAACCATTTTGGGTATGGAGTCATTAAATCTAGTAATAATTTACCTTCTAAAATTAGTTAACATTACGAGTTGGCAAATATTTAGCCTTATATCATTAATGCTCTCAAAAAATGTGTGTTCCTTATGACAAAGAGTCAAAAACTTTCAATACAAATTGTTCTAAATAGGACTAAAACTTAAATAAAATGCACAAATAGGACTACATATGTTTTATTTCCAAAATAGAACTTATTTGATCCTGTTAAAAGTTTAAAACTTCCCGTATTAGGAGTGAATAAGTCCTATTTTAGGTAAAAAAACAATCATGCTCCTATATATATATGCACTTTGTACATATTCTAGTCCTAAACAAGAATTTTTCTCAAACTCTCAATCTAAGCAAACATGAGACAGTTTAAAAAGGAGTTCTGAAAAATCAAACAAAGAGCAGAGACTTATGTAGTAAGATGAGTCCTTCAACTGTGTGCTTACCCACCGTCTTGCCTGAGCAATGTTGTTCTCAGAATAGTACTCAGCAGACTCCATTGACCGAAGCACTCCAGCTGTCCCACCTGATTGGATAGATCCAAATGCAGCATCAGGCTTTTTGCCGGAGGAAGCCCCGAATTTACACCCCACAGCACAGGATTCCCATTCCTACACAGTAAAGAATATGAATTTGAAGGTATTTGCGCATAAAATCGAATGGAAATAGAGATGCAAACAGCCACTGATGTGCTTTAATGCGTGTGGACCCAACCTGTTGTCCACCGTGTACCAAAATAGGGTCTTTTTCAAAATCCCTAGAATAAGCAACGGTGTCTTCACTCTCCAACCATTCCTCGCAGCTCTCCAATCCGGTGAAAGAGTCCAGCTCATCCGAAACCCTAGTCTCCTCACCTACACCGGAGGTAATATCGTCGGCGTTGGAGACATACGACCAAGACGAGCCAGTGAACTGGTAAAAGGAGTCAGCCCATGAGTTGACCAGGTCAACATTCTTGGCCATGTCGAGTCGACCCAAGAAGGCGATCTCGGCTACAACCACTAGGGCTACGAACAATGGTAGCAAATTGAACCACCGCTTCTTTGGACTATTGGAATACGACGGTGACCCGATCGAAGAGGGTCCATCTTCCGTCTTCGGAAGCCTTTGAGATGGTAGAGCTGAGGCCATGATTTTGTATAATTACTATGTGTTTCTCGGGGTCTTTATTCGTCGACAACCATCGGGTAGGAGGGAAAAAAGGAAGACGAAAGCTTGATCTGTTCGAAAAGTCGGACGTATTCTGGATTTGATGAGCCGTGGATTAAGGGGTCAGCCCGGTCAGGTGAGAATGAAAATATAGGAGTGAAAGTCAAGCTAAAAACCATTCATTTGGGATAGGGGCTAGATAGAAAGTTCCATTTTTAGAAGCTGTTCTTTTTGCTTCATTTGAATCTTTCTATTTTCTTTAATCTCCTAATATCTAATCTGGAATTTTCTTATCCGGTTTGATTGACTTGAATTTTTTTGATATGATATGATTTTAATTTTTTTGATATGAAATAATTTGAATTTTTCTAGTCTGATCTGAGTTTGTATGATTTGATCTGAATCTTTCTAATCTAATTCGAATGAGAACATTTATGATCCTTTTCTTTTGAGTGAAAATAGTTTATCTTTATTAATTTAAAGATTCATTCATCAAATGGCGGTTATGGCCCAAAATACAACTCGAACTAATTTCATAATGACTACTACTCACATGTGACAATGCATCTAATGTTTCCTTAGCAAGCTTATGGGCACTGATGGATAGTCTACCCGGGGTATATATCCGAAGGGTTATTACGGGGAATAACTTAGAGAGAAGTCAGAGCAAGTAAGTAAAAGTAGAGAGAGAGTGTATTCAGTATGAATGCCGTTTTCAGCGTGGTTACAAATGGGGAAATGGGGTGCTATTTATAGTAGCAATAAATGCCGGGCAGGGACACGTGTCAAGCGCTCATTGGCCGAGGGGTCACCTCAATTGGTTGGCGCTGGCAGCCGCATGTGGCCGCATTTAATGCGGCTGTTGGATGGGACGTCTGTGCAGGGTACGGTGATCTTGTACGCATGTGAGGCGGATATCTTGTCGAGTGAGATGCCTTCGGCCATAGAGCAGTAGCCGAGGGCTCCTCCAACCGATGGCACCCTGGTGCCGAGGGCTCACAGTGCCGAGGGCTACTGTTTTCGCCGTTTCTTCCCGGTTTCTTAATTTGCTTGAGAAACCCGTTCTGCGAGAATTTAGAGCCTTCGGCCAGGGGGCCGAAGGCACCCCTGGCGCGTAGTGTGGGCTGCTTGGTACTCTGGGCGCTGTGATTTGGGCCTGTTGGACCTTCTGGGCCTGTTGGGCCTCTAAAGGAGTAGTAGGAGTCTGTGGGCCGGGTGTTCCCGGGCCATATACTCCATCAGGAGTCCCTCACTCCTTTTGCCGAAAGGTACTTGAGGGAAAAGGAGTAATTTGTGCTTGCCCTTTGATGTTGTCCCGTCGTGATCTCTGAAGTTGGTGAGGAGTTGTTGCTTTTATGTCCATGCCGAAGGCAGTCCCTCAGTTACCCACATGTCGGGACTTGAGGGCTTGCCTTGTCGTTTGTTGGAATTTCACTAATTTTGTAATTTAATGATTTTCCCGAGGGGGTCCTCCAGTCCCCCACTCCTTGAGGCACTTGTAAAGTGGTGAAAAGGAGTAGAGTAGTTGTGTTGCTGTTGTGGGCCGAAGGCTGACATTTTTTCGTTTCATTTTGGGGGGATGCCTCGTTAAAAACCTCATTAGGAAAAACCCTTTGGGAAAAAATCCTAATGAGGGAAAAAGAGTGCACCGAATTCCCCCAATGATGAATCGAAAATGTCAAACCTTGGTCAAAAATGGAGAATGACGGGAATGCCAAAGGCTCTCTCTTCTGAGGGCTCCTGTGTTGATTAGCCGAAGGCTTGCTGTTGATGTCCTGGTGGCGCCGAAGGGGAGCCCCTCAATTCGGGGATCGAGGGCCTGCTGGATGAGGGCGGCAATGGAGTTGTTACCGGGGGGTCCACTGTTTGTTGATTAGTTGGTGATGAAGATACCCGAGGGCTCCCATTACCTGTGTGCCATGGGTCATCCGTCAATGAGGCAACTCCCCGGGGGCTACCCGGTTTTGCAGTGCTGAGGGGGAATCCCCGAGGGGTGCCCTGATATGAAGCCCTGGGTTTCTGAAGGAGTGATCCCGAAGGCGTCTGTTATGTGCTGTGTGGGGCACAACCCGGGGGCACTTCTGAGTGAGTGTACCCGGAGGCTATCCTTGATGAAGTGGAGTGAAGTAGAAAACCCGGGGGCTTCCGGAATATAGCCGTTGGGAATATAGCCGTTGGAATATGTAACGACAGGATATAGCCGTTGGGGGGGTGGCACACGTGGCGTGTGATGGCTGGCTGTTCGTGGGCGGCGTCACCGGTTGGGTGAAACGACGGTGCGTAATGATGGCTTTGGCTGCTGGGAGCCCGGATCTGGGAGCCTATAAATACCCCAAGCCAGGGCCATTCCTCCTTTACGCATCCACATCTGTAGCGAAGCTCTGCAAAAAATTCTAGAGAGAGAAACTCAAGCTTTCGGTCAAAAACTCAGCTTTCAGATGTCAGTTCTCCTTCCGCCCTTAGCTCCATTTGAGTATTTCTTTTGGCCTTAGGGTTAGTCTTTAGGACCCTTCAGGAACCCCCCCTTCGTACGAGTTTCCCGACCCCTCGCCTTTTAGAAAGATGTCGTCAGCTAGTGATTCCCAAGACATCTCCGGGGAGGCTTCAGTGAACGTTGAAGTGCCGTCTGACGTGGAATCCTTGAGCGAGCAGCTCTCGGCCATTGATGATAGGGCCGTAGCCGAGGCGGTACAGAGTGACCTTCAACTTGAGCTCGAGGCCGAAGACTTCGAGCAGGTGAACGCGGATGAGGAGCCTGCCATCGCCTGTCAAGTGGCCGAGGACGAGGCCCAGAAGGAGGGCCTGAAGGTGACTGTAGCTATCCCTCCCCCTCGGTGTGGTACTGAAGCTGGGAGCTCCCGGCCTATAGACGCTGTACCCCTCAGTGTGGCCCCAGGACAGAAGAGAAAGAAGGCGAGGGTGGCTCCGAAGAAGAAGCAAGCTGCCGTCGACGCTGGCCAGCCACTGGGACTCCCCGAGGGCTATTCTTTCCTGAATACGGCCGCCTTGGAGGACAAGAATAAAGCTACCCGAGGGGAAATGATGGCGGTGCAATTTTTGGTAGGGCCTTCGGCGCAAGTGGTAGAGCCAAAGCCGGATGACGTGCTCCTTCGTGCCCCCGACGGCTGCTTTGCCGTGCATCTGCTTTCGGTGGAGCTGGGTCTCAGGTTTCCCCTTCATCCTTTTGTGTTGGAGTACCTCCGTTTTGTAAAGCTAGCCCCCTGCCAGTTGACCCCGAACAGTCACTCATATCTGGCAGGGTTCCTGTCACTGTGCCTAAGCCGAAAGGTCCCCCCTACTCTGGAGCAATTCTTCCTGTCATTCAACTTATGCCGGGGGGGCATTCGAACGCCGGGGGCTATGGTAATCTGCAGCAACTCCCGAAGTTCAGGATCTTTGATGAGGCGCCTTCGTCTCACAAGGGGTGGAAAGACAAGTTTTGCTATATCCGGTTGGCCGAGAACCCCTTCTCCGCTCCGCTTGGTGACAGGTTTCGGCGGCACCCGAAGGCAGAAGGGTATGCCCTCGAAAAGAATGGGCGGGTGTTGTCCAAGAAGCCGGAGGGTTCCGATAAACATGTGTCCATCAAAGGCGCAACGCTCTCCAGTGAGTTGTACAAGCTTGGCTTCCGTCGGTACCGGCTGATGGGGGAGAAGGAGGAAGGCTACCCCCTGATTGACCGCGTATATGATAGTGCTGAAGGTTGTTGTAATACCGAAGGCTTTATTTCTCATGCTTAGAAAATTTTCTTCCCCTTCATATTTTTTGCTTTGCTGTAATAGTGAACTAACCCTTGTGTGCCTTCTTGTGTTTCAGGACCAGACATGGACGCTCGGAACCTGGTCAAGCTGAAGCGGCAACTTGCCCGAGAGGAGCAGAAGAAGGAGGCCCCCGCACAGCAGAGGGCGGTCGATGAGATCTTCCCCAAGGCGGGAGCGGCCGAAGAGGCCAAGGAGGCGGGGCCCGTATCGGAGGCCGCCGTCGGGGGCTCCCCCGGTCTGGAGCTGAAAAGAAAAAGACTCCACCGGAGGGGAAGAAGAAGAAGAAGGGGGCCCCGGAGTCGAAGGAAGCCCCCGTTGTGGTCGTAGAAGAATCTTCTCCTCCCAAGCCTTCGGGTCAGGCAACTGATCTGACATGGCCCCTGGACAAAGTCCAATTTTCCATTATGAAGGGGACTGCTATCATGCACGGGACCCTGAACCCGAAGGAGTTTTTGAGGGGTGCCACCCCTCCGACTGATAAGTTCGTGCTCTCCCGTCAGGCCGACGATGTCCTCTGCTCCAAGGTTCTGATGGCCTCGGTTACGGTAAGTTTCCTTCCCCCTCTTTTGTAGATAACTTCATTCTTTACATGAGTAGTGGCTAACCCTCCGGTAATTCATGTCTGCTTTCAGGCGAGCCTTGGCCTTGGCGAGCTGGTCCAGAGGATAGAACAGCATGACTCAGAGAAGAAGAAGGCCGTTGAAGCACTGGCCGAGGCCCGAAGGCAGCTCAAGGAGGTCGAGGACGCTCGCAAAGCTGAGCAAGAGGCTTTCAAAGACATCCTCGAGGGCTCCAAGACGGTGGCCAGGGCCGAAGGTAAAGCAGAGGCGGAGAAGGCTGCGGCAGATGCTGCCAAGAAAGCCGCGGAGGATGCCGAGGAGGCCCGGATCAAAGCTGTCGCCGAAGCCCGGGAGGAGGCTGTTGCTACTTTTGCCGAGGAGGGATGGAAAGCCGAAGGTCGGCAAAAATGGGTGGCTTCGGTGGTGGAAGCTTCGGTGGACGAATGGGTGAAAGGCCCAGGCGCCATGTGGTTAGCCCGAAAGGGGAAGGAATATTATGACGGGAGTGAGTACTTTACTCAGGCCCTCGTATATCGAAGGCTGTCCCGGCATTTTGGGGTGGACCCGAAGGCCTTTGATCCGGCATCCTATGGCCTTCCTCCCCTTCAGCCAGACCCCAGGGTTCCCCTCCCTGAAGGTGTTGCGAGGCCTGACTTGGAAGACTCCCTGCTGATGGCCGAGGGCAGTGACGAAGAGGAGGAGATTGGTGATGATGCCGTGTCCAAGCCTGCAGTAGAGGACGCCTCCGGGAATGCCGTCGAAATTGTTGAGTAATTTTGTACTTAGGAATGTGTGAACATATTTTGTAATGAACAACATTTATCCTTCGGCTTCGGCCTGTTTGTAATTTTACACTCACTCCTGTTTTTGATGAATGCATGCTGCCTCCGGGCTTTTCACCTTTGAATGCGCCCTGTGTTTTGAATGTATGCCTTCTCCTTTTTGAGTGTATGCCTTCTCCTTTGAACGTATGTTTTAGGACTTAGAATTTTTTCTGATTGTAGCCTGCCCTTGGAAGCCTTCGGTAGTTGGGCACCCCCTGCTGGATAGGCAACCGAGGGTTCAGCAGGAATTGGGACTTAGAAAATTTTTCTAAGTGTAGCACACCATAGGGAGCCTTCGGGAGTTGGCATCCCTTCCTGATGTGTGAATATTGGACCGAGGGCCCAATGTACAGGACTTAGAAATTTTTTTTTTGCAAGTGTAGTATGTCACGTAGCCTTCGGCTACTGTGGAGCCTCAACTGAAATATTGAGTAGGCCGGGGGCCAATTCTTTAGGACTTAGGAAATTTTCTTGAGTGTTGATTCCTTGTGTACTGTAGCCTTCGATTGATAGGCAGCCTTCGGCAATTAGGTCCCTTGAGATGAGGGTGAAATATGTAGGACTTAGAAAATCTTCTAAGTGTAGAGTTTCCCTTGGGAGCCTTCGGGAGATGGCATCCCTCCATGATGTATGAGTAGCTGACCGGGGGGGAAAATATGCAGGACTTAGAAAATATTCTAAGTGTAGATTTTCCCTTGGGAGCCTTCGGGAGATGGCATCCCTCCTTGATGTATGAGTAGTTGACCGGGGAAAAACATGTAGGACTTAGAAAATATTCTAAGTGTAGATTTTCCCTTGGGAGCCTTCGGGTGATAGGTGTCCTCTGACTCCACATCACTTTGCCAGATGCCCGGGGGCTGCTCATTTAGGACAGAATATATTTTTTCAAGTGTTGTTGTATTGCATGACCTTCGGCTACCATATTCCCTTGGCTGTAATGCTGATTGGGCCGGGGGCCCAATCTTTAGGACTTAGAATTTTTTCAAGTGCTGCTTCCTTGTGTAGCCTTCGGGTGATAGGTGCCCTCTGACTCTACATTACTTTGCGTAAATTGATGTTGAATCCTGTTGTTGTGAAGAAAGCCAATGAGGAGTGTGTGCCCTCGGCATACACTCTGAAGAGTTGTAGAGTTTGACTCAGCCAGTTGTGTCCCTTGTAATGGGGTAGGGGCCCTCGGTATTCATGTATAACAGCTGCCTTCGGTACATATTTGAAGGTACCGTCTTAGTGTACTTTGGATAGTCCAGTCCCTTTGTATTGTTGAAGCCTTCGGTGTTTGTGTGACCGGAGGTGCCCAGGTAGTGGACTTAGCCGTTTCTTGATGCTATCTGTTCGAGTAGTATCCTTCGGAAAATAGGAGCCTTCAGTTACCGGAGGTGTTCCCGTGGGGAGCCCTCGGCTTGTTGTGATCTGTTGGAGTGTACTCTTTGATTTCTCGCTGAGTCTACTCCCCTTCACCCCCTTTTTTTTTTGGTTGGTGGTGAAGGGAAGGCATCAAGAAACTTGGTTTCTTGGTAAGGCTGGGCCTATTAGGAGACCATCAGAATACACCAATGGCTCTCCTCCCTCGGGTTAACCTTCCGAGTTCCGAGGGGATCGAGGGACGTTTCCTGGGCACAAGATATGGTGGTCCGTAACCTGCCTCCCCTTGGGGGATGGCACGGAAAGCGCCTCATTTTTGAAAGTCGTCCCCTCGGCGCTAGACATAGTCCGTGGCCTGCCACACCCTTGGGGTGGTGGCGCGGGGAGCGTTTCGGTTTGGAAGTCGAATCCTGGGCATTTCTCATGCCTGTCATACCCTGGGGGTAGTGACGCGGATAGCGTTCCGTTTTTGAAAGTCGAATCCTGGGCATTTCTCATGCCTGTCATACCCTGGGGGTAGTGACGCGGAAAGCGTTTCAAGGAAGGGTTTTCATTTGCACACTAGTTGCAAATGGCCGGGGGCACTACGTGCCGCCGGCACCGATGGTGGCGCCTTCGGTATATGCGTCCTCGTGGGGTACGACTTTTAGAAACAACACTTGGTGTTAGTTTCGATGTGTAGCCCCCGGTACTTGGTACCGAGGGGTCTTCTGTAGGAACACTTGGTGTTCTCTTTTGTTGTAGTTGATGTAGGCGTCTACCCTCGGTACTTGGTACCGAAGGGTCTTCAAATGAAACACTTGGTGTTTCCCAACAGATGTTTGGAAGTTGATAGGAGAGCATATCCCTGGCACTGGGTGCCGAGGGGTCTTCTTTGAAACATTTGGTGTTTTTTTCTTCGTTTCGATGTTTGATGATGGAGGTGTACCCTCGGCACTGGGTGCCGAAGGGTCTTCTGTAGGAACACTTGGTGTTCTCATCTTTTCTTTTTTGATGATGAAGGTGGGAATGTACCCTCGGCACTGGGTGCCGAAGGGAAATGAAACACATGGCGTTCCTTGTTGTTGGTGATAGGAGTTCCCTCCCTCGGTACTTGGTACCGAGGGGTCTTGACTGAAAACACGTGGTGTTTTCACTATTTGTTGTAGGTGTTGATGGGGTCCGCCCTCGACACTTGGTGCCGGAGGGGGTTCTTCTCGTGGTGAGGCCTGGGGCCTGTAGTCAGTATGAGGGCTTGATGTCTTGAATGTATCTTCATTCTTCGAAATTGGAGGCCTTGGGCCATAGGATAGTACATTCACTAGTTATGAGGGCTTGGCCGCTCTTACATTATTGATAAAATTTAACTAAATGGTGTACATTCCAGTGCCTAGGGACTTCTTTCCCATTGGGGCGTTTGAGCTTGTAGGTCCCGGGTTTGATGATGGCTGCTATGATGTAGGGGCCTTCGAATTTTGGTGCCATTTTTCCTCCCTCGGTTGGTTGGCTGGCTTCCCTCCTCCGGAGGACATAGTCCCCCACTTGAAATTCTCGGGTGCGAACTTTGGCGTCGATGTAGCTTTTAACTTGCCTTCGGTAGTTTTCTGCCCGGATGAAGGCCTGCTCCCGGCGTTCTGAAATGAGGTGGAGGTCGAGGGCCATGTTGCTGTCGTTGACCTCGGGATCATATTGGATCACCCTTCGGGTGGGAAGGGTGACTTCCGTAGGAGCTTTGGCTTCAAAACCGTAGCAAAGGGAGAAGGGTGTTTCACCTGTTGCTCGACGAGGGGTAGTGCGGTAGGCCCACAGGATGTTGTGGAGTTCTTCTACCCAGCCACCGCCCTCGGCCTCCAGCTTCTTTTTGAGGCCCTCGAGCAAGGTCCGGTTGGCATTCTCTACTTGCCCGTTGCCTTGAGGGTAGGCAACGGAGGAGAAGGTGTGTTTGATGCCCCATGCCTCCAGAAGGGCACAGAAGGGGGCTGCCTCGAATTGTGTCCCATTGTCGGAGATGATCTGCTGGGGGACGCCAAACCTTGTGAGGATGTTCTTGAGGACGAAGTGACGACACTTCGCCTCTGTGATGCTGGCGAGGGGTTCAGCCTCCACCCACTTGGTAAAGTAGTTGACAGCCACAATGATGTATCTATTGTTGGAGGTACCCCTCGGCAGAGGGCCCACAAGGTCTATCCCCCATCGAGAAAAGGGGACAGAGGTGCTGATGGGGGCATAGTTGACCGCTGGCCTGCCGGGAGCTTTCTGGAAATGTTGACATGCGGTGCACCTCCGGGCAAGGTCAGCACAATCCCTGGCCATGGTTGGCCAGAAGTAGCCCTGGAGAATGAGCCTTCGGGACATGGAGAAGGGTCCCTGGTGAGCTGAGCAAGTGCCACTGTGCACTTCCTCCATTGCGACCTCGGCTTCATCTGGATGAAGGCACCGAAGTAGCGTGCCATTGTAAGATCGTTTGTAGAGCCTTCCATCTTCGATGGTGTAGCTAGGAGTCCTCAGCTTTGCCAGTTTAGCGCGGGTCTCATCCTCGGGTAACTGCCCTGTGGAGATGAAGGCGGTGATATCTGTGATCCAATCCTCTTGGCGTTGTTGTATGTTCATAACGGGGCTTGCATGGATACTTGAGAGGCTGAGTTCCTCAATTTTGGCAATTTTGGAGATGTGCTCGGGGGAGTCGGCCGAGAGCTTAGATAATATGTCGGCCTCGGAGTTCTGAGCCCTCGGTATTTGAGTGAGAGAGTGTGCCTCAAATACCTTAAGCAACTCCTTGGCCGCTTCCTTGTACTGTTTCATTCTCCCCTCCTTGGCCTCATATTCTTCGGAGATTTGGCCAACGACCAACTTGGAGTCGCTTTTGATGTGGATCTGCCGAGCCCTCATGTTGGCAGCCAGCCGAAGGCCACATAGGAGGGCCTCATATTCGGCCTCGTTGTTGGAAACTTTGAAGGAGAAGCGGATTGCATAGTAAGCTCTGAAGCCCTCGGGAGTAATGAGGACTACCCCTCCCCCGCATGCTTTGGTCGCGGAGGAGCCGTCGGTGTAGAGGGTCCACCAGTCGTCCGAGGTAGCCGAGGGCTCCCCGTCCGTGGCTGCCCTTGCGGTACATTCCGTCACAAAGTCCGCCAGGGCTTGGCCCTTGATGGCAGGTCTTGGACGGATGTCAATGTTGTATTGGCTCAAGAAGATAGCCCATTTCACCATGCGGGAGGAGCTGGTGGGGCTCCTCATGAGGGCGCCGAGGGGTTGATGAGTGAGGACCTGAACCGGGTGAGCCTGAAAGTAGTGGCCCAACTTCTTGACAGTCCAAACGATGGCCAACACCGTTTTTCCATAGGGGAGTACCTGAGCTCGGCCTCCCTTAGGGTCTTGCTAACGTAGAAGATGGCATGTTGGATGCCGTCTTCCTCCCGGATGAGCACAGAGCTGATGGCCGCCGGGCTGACCCCAAGGTAGAGGTAGAGGGTCTCCCCTACCTTTGGTTTTGAGAGCACAGGGGGTGAAGATAGATACCGCTTGAGCTCGTCGAAAGCCCCCTGGCATTCTGGAGTCCAT